CTCCAACTGCTGAGTGCTGGGAAAGCCTGGAGATGTAGTTAGAGAACAACTGTCAGTCTTTAAAGAGTCACTGAAAAGAGGTGTCTTAGAAGGTGGAGCACACGCAGATATTCTTCCACTCAAAAGAAAAGATTGGGACTTCCCTGGTAGTCCAGTGGTAAAGAATCCGCCTTCCAGTGCAGGGAACTTGGGTTCAATCCCTGGTCAGGGAACTAAGATCCCACATGCTGCGGGGCAGCTAAGCTCGTGCGCCACAACTAGTGAGCTCACACGCCTCAACGAGAGAGCCTGCGTGCCACAAGCTACAGAGCTCACATGCACTGAAGCCCGTGTGCCACAACTAGAGAGAGAAAATCCCACACACCACAACTAGAGAGATGCCCGTGCGCCACAACGAAAGATCCCGCATGCCTCAGCCAAGACCCCGTGTTCCACAACTAAGACCCAACGCAGCCAAATAAATAAATTAAATAAATAAATATTAAAAAAAAAAAGATTGAGGTGGATAGTGGAGAAAGACTGTATACTACATACATATGAGACTGGTGAACTTGATACCTGATAACAGTAGCTCCAATAATAGCCACTGTCATTGAGCACCAAGTGTGTGTCAGGTCAGTTACTGGGGACTCCAGATGTGTTGTCATTTAGCTTTTCATGAGCTGAATTGTTCTTTCTGCCTTACACCTTGAGGAGATGTGGTGTGATGTAGCAGGCAGTCACTTCTGGCTGGGTGTCCATAGACTATAGGTTTTCTCTGAATGGAGAGAGAAAAACAGTTGCTAACGTTTCTTTAAAATGTTAAACAGATACCATATTACCCAGCATCTTCACTCTAAGGCATTTACTGAAAAGCAGTGAAAGCATGTGACCAAAACTTGTGCTTAAATGTTCATAGCAGCATTATTCACAATAGCCCCAAACTTGAAATAGCCCAAATGCCCATCAGCTGGTGAATGGATAAACAAATTGTGGTATATCCAGATAATGGAATACTACTCAGCAATTTAAAAGGAGCAAACTACTGTGTGGATGAACCTCAAAAGCATTGTACTAGGTTAAAGAAACCAAACACCAAAAGCTGTGTAATGACAGTGGGAATGTACTTGACACTAGTAAGTTTCATGTTATGTATATTTTACCACATTGTTTTACCACAAGGTACGTAATGTATGATTCTGTTAGTACAAAATTCTAGAAAAGGCAAAACTGTAGTGACAAAGCATATCTAGTGGCTGTCAGAGACCAGGGCTCAGGGAGGGATTCACTATAACAGGGCATGAGGAAACTTTTTGGGAATGATGTTAACGTTCTATATTTTGATTCTGGTGGCAGTTATGCAACTGTATACATTTGTCAAAATCCACGGAATCATATGCTTAAAGTTGGTGAGTTTTATTGTTGGTAAATTATAGTTCAATAAAACTTATGTAGAAGAAAGAGAGGAGAAAAAATGGCTAGGAATTTGAAGGAGTTAAAAAATTCTCTTAGTAAATTATTAGAAGATTTTTCTCTGCTTTCTAAAAAACTGTGTGCCAGATCATAAGGTAGGGGAAATATATTGTCTTTACTTCCCTCATTGGGGTACATGAAAATGTTTAGTTACTGTGAACAATAGATAGTGCATTTAGGGTCTACAAAATTACTTAAAAGTTGCCTTAGTGAGAATATTAACAACAGTCAATATTCCCAGAGCTAGAAGGAGACGGTTTCCCTACGAGTGGTCCTTTTTGGATTGAGCTTTGCTTACTTGCCACCTAGAGGGGTGATTCAGTTGTGGTATTCCATTGCACTTTTTTTTTTTTTTTAGAATCAGTTAAGATTTATTGAGTTCTTACTATGTCCAAGGTTTATGATAAATATTTTACTTTTTTTTTAACATCTTTATTGGAGTATAATTGCTTTACAATTGTGTGTTAGCTTCTGCTTTATAACAAAGTGAATCAGTTATACATATACATATGTTCCCATATCTCTTCCCTCTTGGCGTCTCCCTCCCTCCCACCCTCCCTATCCCACCCCTCTAGGTGGTCACAAAGCACTGATCTGATCTCCCTGTGCTATGCGGCTGCTTCCCACTAGCTATCTATTTTACGTTTGGTAGTGTATATATGTCCATGCCACTCTCTCACTTTGTCACAGCTTACCCTTCCCCCTCCCCATACCCTCAAGTCCATGCTCTAGTAGGTCTGTGTCTTTATTCCCATCTTAACCCTAGGTTCTTCATGACATTTTTTTTCCCTTAGATTCCATATATATGTATTAGCATACGGTATTTGTCTTTCTCTTTCTGACTTACTTCACTCTGTATGACAGACTCTAGGTCTATCCACCTCACTACAAGTAACTCAATTTCGTTTCTTTTTATGGCTGAGTAATATTCCATTGTATATATGTGCCACATCTTCTTTATCCATTCATCTGTTGATGGGCACTTAGGTTGCTTCCATGTCCTGGCTATTGTAAATAGAGCTGCAATGAACATTGTGGTACATGACTCTTTTTGAATTATGGTTTTCTCAGGATATATGCCCAGTAGTGGTATTGCTGGGTCGTATGGTAGTTCTATTTGTAGTTTTTTAAGGAACCTCCATACTGTTCTCCATAGTGGCTGTATCAATTTACATTCCCACCAACAGTGCAATAGTGTTCCCTTTTCTCCACACCCTCTCCAGCATTTATTGTTCCTAGATTTTTTGATGATGGTCATTCTGACCGGTGTGAGATGATATCTCATTGTAGTTTTGTTTTGCATTTCTCTAATGATTAATGATGTTGAGAATTCTTTCATGTGTTTGTTGGCAATCTGTATGTCTTCTTTGGAGAAATGTCTATTAAGGTCTTCTGCCCATTTTTGGATTGGGTTGTTTGTTTTTTTGTTATTGAGCTGCATGAGCTGCTTGTAAATTTTGGAGGTTAATCCTTTGTCAGTTGCTTCATTTGCAAATATTTTCTCCCATTCTGAGGGTTGTCTTTTGGTCTTGTTTATGGTTTCCTTTGCTGTGCAAAAGCTTTTAAGTTTCATTAGGTCCCATTTGTTTATTTTTGTTTTTATTTCCATTTCTCTAGGAGGTGGGTCAAAAAGGATCTTGCTGTGATTTATGTCATAGAGCGTTCTGCCTATGTTTTCCTCTAAGAGTGTGATAGTGTCTGGCCTTACATTTCCATTGCACTTTGATGTCAACTTATTTTTGGCTTAAAATTTTTAAAACACCATAAGTTTGATCGAAATATCACATCTATATCTTTTCTCACCAGCCCCCCTTCCCCATTCTAGTCAGATTCTGTACTTTTTTTCTTAGACTTTGTTCTCATTAATCTTTCCATGATATTTGATATTATTATTCCCTCATTCTCAAAAGCTTCCTTCTCCCTTGCTCTCTGGGAATAGTGTACTCTAGTGATTTTCTTTCTACTAGAGAAATGATTTCATTATCTCTTTGGCTGGTGTATCTTTGTCCTTAGGTCCCTTATGAGAACAGAGCTCATTGCCCCATTCTTTCTAGGCTTGCCCCCTGGGATATCTTACCCTATCCTATGATTATTTGGTGTATCTCAAATTTCTTGTCCCAAGGTCGCTGTTAAGCCTTGTCTCTTATTTCCAGCTACCTCCAGGGTATTTATTTTCATCATCCTTTTTCAACTTAACACTGCCCAAACTAAACATGTTCCCTTTTCTTCCATGTCCTCGCCCATTCTGGGGTTCTCCATGACTTTGAGACACTGCCATTCTTTCTCCCTCAGGTTTAAAACCTGAATCTCTCATGTTCTTTTTTTCTTCCATGTCTTCTAATCAGTTACTGTTCAGATCTTCTATATTTCCTGTGGGCTATCTCCCTTACTTTAAGTCTTTTTGGTATCTCTTTAGCCTGTGTCCTTATTGTTAGAGAGCCTATGGCACTTTTTTCAGTGAAAGCTGCTGGTCAGTATGACAAGGTTTCACAATTTTGAGAGCCACTCTGTCCCCAGATGCATGTCTCAGAACGCTATGAAATGACTGAGTCACTGGATTCCAGAGTTTGACTTACTCTCCCAGTACACCTCTTGGGATGCTTTGGAAAATCTTGGTGTGTCCTTTTGTGTGTACAGTGTTACGTTGCTGCCACCGTCTCTGCTTTTTTCAATCACAAACAGCTTTTCCTTCTCTCATGAGTATATAAGCGTGCGTCCCGTGCACCCCACAGATTCCTGTTTTTTGTAACTTTGTGATACCTTGGGATAACTTAAGATTTGCTGCCTTTGTGCTCTCCCTGAGCAGTTCCTTATTCCTCCTCCTTATACAGTACTACCTTAATCTTCCAACTGAAAAGCAAAAATGAAGTACCTGAGATTGCGTATTTTCATTCCTATTAATCACGGAATATGTATGTCTGTTTTTACACCTCTTGTATTTTCCTCTCTGATTTTACTTCGGAATTAATAAGATTTTTTTGTAAATTCTCACCCAATGACCTGCATTCTTTGATAGCATTTTTATAAGTTACTTTGTAGGTTGGGTTGCATGGTTTAAGATGTGTGGGAGCATTTTGTTAACGAGAAGAAGGACTGATGAAGTACCGGCTATAGTATTCCTCACTTGCTCTTCCCAAAGAGGGGGGCTGGCCACAGCCTGGATGTCTCCAAATTTAACTACATCCTCAGAAATAAGATATTCACACTTATTTTTCTTTCTCTTTATTTTGGTGGTGAGCGATCTGCTTTAGAAGTGAAGAGTTGATGAGTTATTTCAGTGAATAGGGGTATTTTAAGGTGTTTTATTTCAGTTATCTTTTCATTAGAGAAATTTAAAGAACAGTTTAGTAAATCTATTTCAAGTTTTCAATACAAGATTTTTATGTTTCTCTGAAATAAAATGAAAAAAGCATTCTCAGGCCATTGGAAAAATTGAAGCTATTATCAGATTTGGATAAAGTGGCCAGAAGCCTAGGAATATTGATTTTTCTGAGTCACAGTATGATACTGTGTTTATTTTCTTTCCCTTTTATCTTTGGACGTTCTAGAGGGGTGTTTGATGCTTCCCTCAAAATGGCTGGCTTCTACGGATTATACACCTGGCTGACTCATACTATATTTGGCATCAATATTGTCTTCATACCATCAGGTAACAACTGTATCATAACTTCTGCTGTCCTCTATTTAAGGAACATTAAGCCATTTTACATATATTGTCAGCTTCCTTAAATTTAAAATGCTAAATTTTGAGATCTAATCTAGTCCAGATTAGGAGCAGAAATATGATTTGGCATGTTTATTTATTGCTGTATCCCCAGTAGTTAAAACAATACCCAGCACATAGGAAGCACTGCATAAATAACAAATACTTATTTGTTAATTGATCATACTGTTCTGGAAAGGGATGAGTGTAAAGTAAGGTCCTTCAGTTAGCAGGGTTATTTTTGGTGTTTTTATTGAAATTACACTTCATTTTTATTAGAAAGAAGCAAGGTAAAGAATATATGTTCTTATTCGAGATTTAGAAACTAATTTCTCATTTGGCTTTGGAATCAGTACACATATTTGACCAGTGCTCTATAGTTATATCATAGGACTGTACAGTTGTCCTTTGGTATCCCTGAGGGTATGGTTTCAGGACCCCCTGAGGATACCAAATTCTGTGGATGCTCAGGTCCTTTGGCCCTCTGTATTTGCAGGTTCCACATCTGAGGATATGGAGGGCCACCTGCATACGTATTAACTAACCATTGATTGAGAATAACAACTGTGGGACACTAAAAATTTGTTGCTTAAGAACAGATTCATGAAGTAAACACACACTTCAGAAAGATTTTCATGACCCAGTTTGAAGATCTTGGACCTCATTCAACTAGCAAATTCAGTTAAACAGGGCATATCATTCCCCTAAAATTTGAGTTTGTATTTGTTTAACTTGTTCTGATGGAAATTTTTAAGTAGTAGGAGCTAGTGATTAGATTCCGCTGTCTTGTTATTGCTTTGCTGATGATGTTAAGTTGCTTTTTCTTCTTTTAACCTTTATTAGCTTTAGCAGCAATCCTTGGAGCAGTGCCATTTCTAGGCACATATTGGGCAGCAGTACCTGCAGTTCTAGACCTGTGGCTTACACAAGGCTTAGGATGCAAAGCCATCTTACTGTTGGTTTTTCATCTCTTGCCGACATACTTTGTAGATACTGCCATCTATTCTGATATATCAGGGTAAGTATTCCACAGAACTTCTGAAGTTGGTGATGAATCATATCCAGGAATTTCTTTGGCCCTTTTTTTTTTTTTTTTTTGCTATACGGGCCTCTCACTGTTGTGGCCTGTACCGTTGCGGAGCACAGGCTCCGGACGCGCAGGCTCAGCGGCCATGGCTCACGGGCCCAGCCGCTCCGCGGCATGTGGCATCTTCCCGGACCGGGGCACGAACCCGTGTCCCCTGCATTGGCAGGCGGACTCTCAACCACTGCGCCACCAGGGAAGCCCTCTTTGGCCTTTTTTAAGAAGATTTTGTTTTTTTCCTTTTGGGCATGGGAGAAAGGACTGGTGGTAGGATTTTCAGTGAAGTAATCTTTTGTGATCCCACTGATATAATCAAAGTTTAATTTAATTAATATCATTTGCAAGGTATGCTATTTTGTTACAAGTTTTATTTACAATACATGAGACTAAAAATTGTGAATAATCCTCTGGTTTAGTGACATTTAACCTAGGAAAAAAGAATTACTGTACATACTTCAAAATAAAAATATTTTAAGTACAATAACAAGTTAGTAGTTATTTTCAGAACTTCTTTGTTTTCAGAGAAACACATTATTAGGTTCTAAGTTTGAGGATTTCCACGTAAAATGAAACCTCATCAAGTTCGTATCTGACAAGCAGTGCTTTCTTACTTTAGATATTATAGTATGGTTCTATGATGAATGCAGATTAAATTTAAGGCAGAAGCCAAACTTTGGCAATATAATAAATATCTGTTTTTGTAGGTTTTGATGTCTCTTAGAAATTGCATTCAGTAAATCAAGCTGATTCTCATTTAGTCACGTATCCAGATTAACATTGCTTATTACAACCTAGGATGTGACAATTATTGAATTTTATTTAGCTACTCAAATTCAGAATATGGCCCACTGAAACTATCATAATAGTTAATATTTTAAATTTTCTTTAAGTAAAACTCATCACAATAAGCGTAGACAGGGTCTAAGTTTACAGGAAGAGGACCCTTCAGTTAATTTGAAATTATGAAGAGACCAGTCATATGCTACCTTGTTTTCTCTCTAGTAAGTTAAAATAGAAAATAAATGATATAGAACAACTAAGAAGCCCCAAAGTTTCAGAGCAACAAGAAACAAGCAACTCCATAAGCAAGCCTTAGGGGAACTTTTTTGCCTAAAACTTAAAGATAACAGGAGAACTTCATAGTGAGCTTAACTAACATTTAATAGTTGCAATTTAAACCATAAGAGTAGTTACATGATTTATAGTTAAGTGTTTTCATTTCTTTAAACTTTGCTGTAAATTTTATATCAGGGTTTTTAGCTAGAATTTAAGACTTAGATATAGTTCTGTCTTAATAATGAAGTAACACCTTATTTAACCAACATCATTAGGAAATGAAAAATTTTACGTAACTTGCTTTATTTTATTTTGTAATAAATTAAGCTTTTATTTAAAAGCTCCCACACTTTTTTTTCTTTTTAAGCTTTAAGCATTTTTGATAAAAATTTTCCTTAAATGTATTGTTTAGGGAAAATGCTTGCTTACATAGTGTAACATGGAATATTGCCCTAAATCCTTTTTGGAATGAAGAAGACAGATAAATTACAAATATAATTTATTGGTTTCCTGAAGACTAGCTCACCTTAAATGTTACTGAATTGTAATACAGTACAGGATATCCTTCCAAGGTATTTAGTTATTTTCCCCTTCACTAAATTGTTCTAATCATCTGTGTTTAGAAACTAGAAACAAACAAAATATACCTTATTTCTAAGTCCCTCTTATGTCAGTGGTCATATGTTGTTATCAGGGTGCTGTGCTGCTGTAATCTACAGGTATGCCTCGTTTTATTGTACTTCACTTTATTGCGCTTCGCAGATACTGCTTTTTTTTTTTTTTTAAAAACAAATTGAAGGTTTGTGGCAACGCTGTGTTGAGCAAGTCTATTGACACCATTTTTCCAACAGCATTTGCTCACTTTGTGTCTCTGTGTCATTTTGGTAATTCTTGCAATACTTCAGACTTTTTTATTATGTTTTTTATGATGATCTGTGATCAGTGATCTTTGATGTTACTATTGTAATTGTATTGGGGTGCTATGAACTACACTCATATAAGATGGCAGACTTAATTGATAAATGTCATATGTGCTTTGACTGCTCCACCAACCAGCCGTTCCCTTATCTTCTCCCTCTCCTTGGGTCTCCCTAGTCCCTGAGATACAGCAATATTGAAATAAGGCCAATTAATAACCTTACAGTGGCCTCTAAGTGTTCAAGTGAAAGGAAGAGTCAGACATCTGTCACTTAAATCAAAGGCTAGAAATGATTAAACTTAGTGAAGAAGGTGTGTTGAAAGCTAGGCCTCTTGAGTCAGTTAGCCAAGTTGTGAATGTAAAGGACAAGTTCTTGAAGGAAGTGAAAAGTGCTATTCCAGTGAACACACACATGGTAAGAAAGCAAAACAGCCTTTTTGCTGATACGGAGAAAGTTTTGGTATTCTGGATGGAAGATCAGACCAGCCACAACATTCCCTTAAGCCAGAGCCTAATCTGGAGAAAGACCCTAACTCTTCTCAACCCTGTGAAGGCTGTGAGGGGTGAGGAAGCTGCAGAAGAAATGTTTGAAGCTAGCAGAGGTGGGTTCGTAAGGTTTAAGGAAAGAAGCTGTCTCCAGAACATAAAAGTGCAAGGTGAAGCAGCAAGTGCTGATGTAGAAGCTGCAGCAAGTTATCCAGAAGGTCTAGCTAAAGAGAAATAATGAAAGTGGCTACATTAAACAGATTTTCAATGTAGACGAAACAACTTTCTCTTGGAAAAAGATGCCACCTAGGACTTTCAACGCCTGGCTTCCAAGCTTGAAAGGACAGGCTGGCTCTATTGCTAGGGGCTAATGCAGCTGGTGACTTTAAATTGAAGCCAGTGCTCATTTACCATTCCCAAAATCCCAGGGCCCTTAAGAATTGTGCTAAATCTGCTCTGCCTGTGCTCGAGAAATGAAACAACAAAACCTCGATAACAGCACATCTATTTGCGACATGGTTTACTGAATATCTTAAGCCTACTCTTGAGACCTACTGGTCAGAAAAAAATGATTCCTTTCAAAATACTTTGGCTTATTTGACAATGTACCCAGTCACCCAAGACCTCTGATAGAGATGTGCAATGAGGTTAATGTTGTTTTCATGCCTGTAATGCAACATCCATTCTGCAGCCTGTGGTTCAAGGAGTAATTTCAACTTTCAAGTCTTATTATGTAAGACTTTACCCAGATCCTGTGATGGATCTGGGTAAAGTCAATTGAAAACCTTCTAGAAGGCATTCAGCATTCTAGACGCCATTAAGAACACTCGTATTTCATGGGAAGAGGTCAAAATATCAACATTAACAGAAGTTTGGAAGAAGTTGATTCCAACCCTCATGGATAACTTTGAGGGGTTCAAGACTTCAGTGGAAGAAGTAACTGCAGATGTGGTGGAAATAGCAAGAAAACTAGATTTAGAAGTGGAGTCTGAAGATGTAACGGAATTACTGCAGTCTCATGATAAAACTTTAATTTTCTTTGCTTATGGATAAGCCAAGAAAGTGGCTTCTTGTGATGAAATCTACTTCTGGTAAAGATGCTGTGAAGATTGGTGAAATGGCAACAAAGGATCTAGTGTATTACATAAACTTGGTTGATAAAGCAGAAGCAGGGTTTGAAAGGATTAACTCCCATATTGAAAGAAGTTCTATGGTGGGTAAAATGCTCTCAAACAGCATTGCGTGCTACTGAAAAATCATCTATGAAAGGAAGAGTCAGTGGATACAGCAAAACTTCATTGTTGTCTTGTTTTGAGAAATTGCCACAGCTGCCCCTGCCGTCAGCAACCAATCACGCTGATCAGTCAGCGGCCGTCACTATCGAGACAAGACTCGCAAAAAGATTACAATTTGCTGAAGGCTTACATGATAGTTAGCATTTTTACCAATCAGGTATTTTTAAATTAACGTATGTACATTTTTTTAGACGTAATGCTATTGTATACTTAAAAGACTACAGTACAGTGTGAACGTAATTTTTATATACTCTGGGAAACCAGAAATTTCATGTGACTCACTTTATTGTGAGATTTGGCTTTATTATGGTGGTCTGGAACCAAACCTGCAGTATCTCTGAGGTCTGCCTGTGTCTTATTTCATTCCAGTTATGTAAGTGATACTGTGATAAGCTGGAAGACAGTTATGACTCTCCTATGAAGTAAAAATCTTGGGCTTTTTATCAGATATTTTCCTCATGAGTCCTTTTATCACTACCTGTGTTAAAATCTGTATTTTAGGAGGTTGCTAGAAGTCTAACTTATGAATAACAGGGATGTCATTGTATTGTTATCATCTTTATAAAAAAAAGCATAATTAGTTGAACTACACACTTAATTGTGCCCACTTAATTTTTCTAGATGGAGGTAAACCTAACAGGTAGATTATATAACGAGTCCTAAGCTGACATTAACCCACCTCAGACAGCCCTGTAATGGTACCTGTTAACATTGCTGACTTCACTCCTTCAGTTGCTGGACCTATAAAAAGGCAAACGTCACACATGTAGGCAAGAAACTTTTTGCATCTTGTTATCTGCATTGAGGTAATCTGAAGAAAGCTGACAATGCAAACAAAAGGCAGGTGTATTGCAGAATGAACATTGCGTTAGAGAATGTATTTCCGACTTACTCCAAGGTTTATGTTTGTTAAAAGTCATGAGTAATCTGTGTGCTCTTTATTCCAGAGGTGGCCATCCTTACTTGACAGGCTTGGCAGTGGCTGGTGGAGCGTACTACCTGGGCCTGGAAGGAGCAATCATTGGGCCCATACTTCTCTGCATACTTGTGGTCGCTTCCAATATCTATAGTGCTATGTTAATGAGTCCCACGAATTCAGTACCCACACCAAACCAGACCCCGTGGCCTGTTCAGACTCAGCGGTGAGTTACAGCAGAATGGTCATAAACTGTGTATGAAATTGAACTAACCTGTCTCATTATTTTTCACCTGGATACAGTCTGTTAGGATACAGAGTATTTCAGTTCCTCTGCTCTACTAAAGATTGAAGACACTAAGTAAATAGAAATCATTTGCGTGTAGACTTTTGGGTTTCACATATCAGGAACATTTAAAAACCGATTGGGTCAGAATTGTTAATGTCATGAAAAACCAAAAATAAATAAATTTTAAAAGACCATTTTGAGACAGGGGTATACTAGATTGAAGGAGACTTAGGAAATAGGACAACCAAATGCAGTGCATGGGTCCATGACAGGATCCTGGATTGGGGAATGGAGAGAATCTATAAAGAACATTTCTGAAGCAGTTAGAGAAATTGATTATGGACCATATGTGAAATAATATTATATTGATGTTAAATTTCTTAGGTCTGACAGTGATACTTTGGTTATGTAGCAGAATATCCTTTAGGGATGAGATGTCAAACTGAGAGGGAGAAAGTGACTGTAGCAAAATGTTCACAACTGGTGAATCTAGATGAAGGACAGACATATGGCTGTTAATTGTACTATTTCAAAATTTCTGTAGGTTTATTTATATGCTATTAATTTATATATATTTATTTATATACTGTAGTATTCCAGTGTGTGAATATACCACAATTTATTTATTCATTGTAGTATTGATGGACATTTGGGTAGTGTCCAGTTTAGGACTGTTATGAATCAGGCTGCTATGAACTTTCTGGTACATGGCTTTTGGTGAACATGAGTACTTACTTCAGGTACGTATATACCAGCAGAGGAATGGCTGGGACTACATCTGGTTTAACTTTAGTGGATACTTGCAAAACAGTTTTTCTATGTGGCTGTACCAGAAATTACATTTTAACAACAGAAAAGTAAGAAGGACTTTAAATGAAAATCCAAGTTTCAGAATACAGGATTTCAACTTTCCAGAGACCATACCGCATTGCCTTGTTATTTTCAGTTGGAAAAGAATTTTTTTGTTGCCTATTCTAGTGTAATTAAGGAGTCATTAACAAGTTGATTCTGAAAATGTATTTAGTGAAACTATATTTTTATTTGAAATTCTTCTAAAATGTTCTGCTTATTTCATTTTAAGTGCTGTATTTTGTGAAGAAAGACATAGTCCTTTAACCCAAAACAAGTAGAATAACGTTTCTGAGTTAGAGCTAGTCGGTCAAAGGGCCATCTTAGTTAATTCTAGGCACTTATTCGATGGCAGTGAAATATCAGTTTCCTGAAGAAGAATGAAAAGAAGAGGTACTTCGAGGTTTTAACAAAGACGTCACCAGTTTGGGGGTGGTTACACTATGATATCCTTTCCTGCCTTTGCTCTTAAAGGCAGGTACTGGGCTCCTGAGAAGTCAGTGGACAGTTACTTGAAAGCAGTAGAGAGCATTTGCTGAGTGGATACCATATTCCTTGGGCTCACGAAACAAGAAGTAAAAAGAAAATTGGTTGATCAATATTTTGCTGTTATTTTAGAAAAAGACTTCTGATGATTCCAGGTTGGTAGAGCAAGAGTTAGTTTCTAAGGTGAAACAAAAGAAGCTAATATGAATCCTTCTAGAGGCGAGTGACCCCTTTCCCCTGGTCCCCTTCTGAAGGCAGAATGTTGTTAATTAAGTGGTATGGGGGTTTGAAAAAATAATGTAAGGACCGATATAGCTGTGATCTTTTTCCTTCGAAGTTATGGATGTATATAGTTTAAAAGAGTCAAAAGTTTCTATAAAGCTTGTGAAAAAGAGCAGTCCTTTGCCTTCTCCCTGCCCCTTCCTTTCCTCTCTAAGAGGAACCACTTTCGACTCTATCTGATGTTTACCTCCATATCTTGAAATTGTGTTTATTTCTTGATTTTTTTCATGTATTGGCACTGTTTACTTCCCATTTGGGAAGTGAGAAATTATCTCTTTTACTAACCATCCGCCCGATATTACTAAACTGTGATATTGGTTAGATCAGTATTCAGTGTTTACATTATTATGGCTCTGTAAATGACATTCATATTTAAGCCTTCTTGTATATTGTCTATAGTTCCTTACCTATACAACATTTTGCTTTCCTTTGTGTTATAAAGATACTGTTTTTTATTTGCTTTGTTTTCTGTGAACTTATAATTAGTCCAATGCCAGGCTTTGCACCAGGTATTTACCTCTCCTCTCACTCAGCATGCTGACTTACGTCTGGTTTGCTATAAGTGTTATCTTCCTGAAGAAGTCGCTCCTGGATTGTTCTGATCTGCTCCAGCAGAGTTGTACAGCTGTCACCCTCGGGATTCCCCCAGCTCTCCCCTCTGTTGGAATGCTTATTTCCCACATGATTTCCCAATATTGTTTTCTTTCTTGATTTATTCCTGCTTTTTGTTGGAGCACATCCTCCTGTAGATTCTTGGGAAAGAATGCATGGGAGATAAATTTGGGGGACGATACATGCCTGAAAAGGCTTCTAAAGTCATACTTACTCAATAGTTTGCCTGGGTAGAGAATTCTATGTTTAAAATTTTTTCCCTTTAGAACTTTATTTCTTCATTGTTTTCTAGCTTTCATGGTTGTTAAAATTCTGAAGCCTTTCTGGTTTCTGATTCTTTGTAATTTAACTGTTTGAAAACCTATAGGATCTTTTTTGTTGTTTTTAATCTACTTTGTTGTTGTTGTTCCAATTGGCACTTGTATCAAGTGCCTTTGTGACCTTTAAAACTGGAAATTTATGTTCTGTGCTTCTGGAATTTTTCTTCAGTTATTTTATTAATGATTTCCTTCTCTCCCTTTCAAAACTACTTTTATTTTGGTGCTGACCCGCATACACTGTTCATATCATTTTTTAACCTTTTCTCTGATGTTCTTCTGGTTCTGTCTTTTTGGCTCCCATTTTCTGGGTGATTTCTCCAACTTTATCTTCTAACACCTTCTTAGAGGTCTCCATTTCTGCTATCATATTTTTGGGGGGGTCTGGTTTATTGAGGTATTATTTGTATAAATAAAATTTATCTTTTTTGGCATATAGGTCTGTGTTACTTTTCTATGATACATAACAAATTTCCACTAACTTAGTGGCTTAAAACAACATACATTTATATTAAAGTCCATGAGTCAGGAGTACAGGCATAATTCAGCTGGGTCTTCTACTTAGGATCTGCCAAGGCTGTGGTCAAGGTGTAAGCTTGGGCTGGGATTTCATCTGCAGATTGGGGAGCCCTCTTCCAAGCTTGCCTGTTGTTGGCAGAATTCCTTTGCTTGCAGTTGTAGAACTGAGGCTTGTAGCTTCTAGAGGCTGCCCCTTTCCATAGGCATTTCATAACATGATGCTTGCCTCTTCAAGGCCAGCAGGAGAGTATTTTTCTGACTTCTGTCTCTGACTGCTAAGACCCTTTTGTAAAGGGCTCACCTGATTAGACCTAGCCCACTGAACATATTGCCATTTTGATTAAAGTCAATTGTTTAGGGACCTTGATTACATCTGTAATATCCCTTCACCTTTACCAACACAACATAATCACAATAGCAGGTATCGGATATTTTTGACTACTGGCTTATGTTAAGAGTGAACTACTCAGGATCTGTGGGTTGGTTGTTATGTGTACATTATGGTATTGTTATCTGTGGGTTGGTTATTATATTACCATAATATAATCTGCCAGGACCATTGTCTTGTGCAACCCTTGATGTCAGTGCTTTTTGGTTTCCCTTTGGGGCTGCTAAATTCCTCAGAGAAAGATCTTTTAATCTCCTGCCCAGAGTTTGACAGCTTGGTCTTACTGATTTTTAAACACACTTTAAAGCAGCCCTTCTGTGTTTAGTCCCACCTTCAACCCCACTTCCAAAGTTACTTGATATCACCAATTCCTGAGCCTTATGGGCAATTTTGCTGAATAACTCCTGGCTTAGGATTCAGCTTTTTAGGTTATGCTGGGTCATAACAGTTGTTCATCTCCTTTCCATCTTCTAAAAATTTGTTGCTCTTAACCTCTTACGTTCTTTTTTTTCTCCTCTTTTTTCAGGTAGGTTTATGCCTTTAAAAAAACTTTTTACTGGCATTCTAATGGGGTTTTGAGAAGGCCTGAAGGAACTATGTGTTCAACACAGCACTTTCTAGTGGAAAGCCTAAATGACCTCTTAAACAGTAACAAACAACCACCACTGACATTTATTGGGACTCAGCATGCCAAGTTCTGTGATAAAACTTTACCTGCGTTGTCTTATTTTACTTAATCTGTCCAATGTTTTCATGTGAGGTTAGGAAAGATTGTTTTCCATATTTTATAAATGAAGAAATCAGGGCTTAGAGAGGTTAACTTGCCTCTAGTCACATAGTAATAAGCAGGTGAGCTGGTGTGTTACAACTAAAGATCTTTCTTTTCCTTAATCATCTCCCCCCTCCACTCCCCACAAGATAAAACATTCTCCTCTGTTTCCTTCCTCAGTAGATGTTACCCTCTAATTATATGTGCCAGTGTGAGGTCATCCTTATGACTTTCCATCTCCTCAGTAACCATCTATACCAAGTCCTATCAGTTTTATCTCAAATCTGTCCTTTCCCCTTTTTCTCCAGTTCCACCTGCCCTGAGCCCAGCTGTTAGGCTTCTCACCTGGACTGCTGCAGGCATCTCAGTCTCCCAGCCGGTCTCTCAGTGTCCACTCTTACTGTCCTCCAGTCCCTTTTCCATACTGCAGCGGATGTTTTCTTTTCAGAATGGAGGCAAATCTGGTTGTGCTTACCAAAACTGGCCTCCCATTTTTCTTACAAGGAAGATCAAAATCCTTCCAAGGCCCTACATGATCTACCTGTGCCTGCTTCACGAATTCTGAAACACTTTCCCCTGTCTGAGCTGCAGCCACATTGGCTTTGTGTCAGGGCCTCAGTGACACCAGCTCCATTCAAACTCTAGGACTTCAAGCACGCTGCTTTCTCTGTCTGGACACTCTCCCCCTCCCCCATCTTTCCTTGCCTAGTTAACT